TCCAGTACAAAGGACAAGGAATCATCAAGTGGTGTGAATTTGAGGACAAATTATTTTCCAGAATGGGATATCCTAGAGGACTATCTCTTGATTCAACAAAAGAAGAACTTGAGGATGAGCCTTTGTCATTCAAAGAACATAAATATATGAAGATTATGGCTTGGAACACAATTATAGAATAAATTTTAAGCATTTAAAGCGTTTGTAATTTATTTTAATTTTGAAAGTTTGTTGGATGAACCACTTATATCGCTCGGCAAGAATATCAAGTAGTCGTTGGGCGAGTAATTCGTTTTTGTTTTTAAATTTTCAATTTAATTTTCACTCTAATGCTTGTATATTGGAACAACAAAATACATTTGTAAACACCTTGGATGGTCATTATATGAAAATTGGGTTCTTAATAAGAGATGATTATCTTGGTTCTTGGATTAGAATTATGGTTTCTGACAAAGATTAAATTCTTTGTTGTAATTCTTCTTTAACTTATCAATCTTAGAGGTGGCAAAACAAGTTAGGTCCGACAGGTTAACTTGTTAGTTTGACTCGTCAATCCATTTTGGTCCAATCCGTCCAACTCATAAATTTGACTAGTCAACCCCACCGGTTGGTCCTTTTTTTTTAAATTAAAAAATAATTTAAAATATTAGTTTTTCTATATTATATTTTTCAAGAGTTTAATATATAATAGTATTGTAATTTAAATCATTAACACTTACAAATTATTAGTTATAATGGAGTAATTTAACATGTAAATGTAATAATTATTTTACTTTATTTAACTAAAAACATTAACGAATCACTTAAAATTTTATAAAATATTTTATATGTTTAAATATGCTTTTAATAGTCATTTATATATATATATATATATATATATATATATAAACAAAATTAAAAAAAAGAAAAACAAATTAAAAAAAATTTAAAAAACAAGTATGAGGATAGCCCGGGCTAACCCAGGTCAACCCTCGTGTGTGGGATAAGTTATCATTAGTTGCCCATTTTTTATGTATAGACTAGTCAAACCTAATCCTTTTTTTACGGGCAGAGCCAAAAAGATCGGATTAGCTCGTTTTGTCACCTCTAATCAATTTGTTAGATTGTGGTGTTCCCAACTATAATTCTTATCAAAGATGACAATCTTTGTGGTGAATCTTCATTGAGTTATCAATCTACTAGATTGTGGCATCTCCATCTATGTCTTATTCTACATTATTGTCTGATTTATTTTTGTTATACCTCTTAAGGATCCAAATTCAGAAACAATTGTACTCTTTTCTGGATAGGATCGTATCACAATTATACAATCAACATTTGTGATAGAAAAGAAGATTGAAGATGAGGTTGTTGAGATATTGGTGTTGAAGAAAAATGTGGAAAAAATTAGAAAAAAAAAATTAAGATCACTAAAGAAAGTGTTGTGATTCTTTAGGTGACCTTAGAAGAGGTAAACAATTTTGAGGCGTAATATCAAGTCAAAACTTAGTTTAAAAAGTTCATGTGTCAACCTATGAAGGAGGTGAAGAAATATTTAAAAAGCCTAGGCACCAAGTTTCCTTTTTGATAAAAGTTTTCTTATGATTTAGCATCAGTGCTGTCAAAATGAGTTGTAACCCGCGAGCCAACCCGACTTACCACGGGTTTGAGTCGGGTTGGATTTGAAAAAATATAATTTTTTTATGCGGACTAGTTTTCAACCCGGCTCACTTAGAACCGGCTCACCGAGTTGAATCCGTGGTGAGCCGGATTGACTCACCAACCCACCTAATTTAATTTAATTATTTATTATTTTGTGTTTCAATATTATTAGTTAGCATTTTTTATTATATTGTAGGTGGTGATAAAATTATCAATATTATAAATGGACAAGTGATACAAAAATTATCAATATTAAAAACTTATTTGCTCGCCTTTTGTACATGTTTTTGGATTACGCTTGGATTGTATGATATTTTTTTTTATTTTGAATTCTCTTTGGAGTTTAAAGTGACGTTTATTTAGATTTGAATTAAAAAAAATTATAACTAAATGAGCTAGTGAGTCAACCCGTTTAACCCACCAACCTGTGGTGGGTTGAGCCGGGTTCAAATTTTTTCAGCTCGCTAATAAGTGAGCCGGGTTGGGTTGGCTCACTAAGTGACCAACCCGTGTGGGTCAAGCCGAGTCGAGTCGGGTTACCCGTTTTGACAACTCTATTTAGCATGATTGGAATATAAACTTAATTTGTTTTATCTTTTTAAGGATTTAAAAAAGATAAAGAACTCAAAAGATGTTGACCACTAAACATAATTTTAATTCATATAATTATATATGATTATATAAGTGTGGAAGTTTGTATCTAAGAATAGAACAAGAACATTAAGATAAGAGCAATAACAACACAATAAAAAAGATAGAAAAAAACTTGGAAGGATTTTTTTATTAAGGACAAATTTAATATAAGAGAACTATATAAGTGTGAAGGATTAGTTTTAAGAGAAAAAGTAAATATTAACAAACAATTTAAAACAAATAAGAATTGTTAAACTAAAAATAAACGATGGAATCAACATAGTATTGGGAAGATGAACACTTTAGTAATTATAAAAAGAAATAAAAGAGAAAATGGAGAGGAAAAGCTTATGAGAGAATGAATGTTTTGATGACACTTAAAGTAGCTTCAAGATAAGTGTTGATGAAATCACTACTTGATCCAATAATGCAACTCTCTCTTTCAAAAAACTCTCAAAACTCTTTCAATCAATTCAATATAAAAAAAAATCTACAAATTAAAAGAGTTGACTATTTAACCTTGGCCTCTAAATTTCTAAGCTTAAATGCATCTCAAATGTGCCTTGGAATCAAATGCAAATTCAAATCTAGAAACCTAAAAGTTTTGGCTTAAAATTTAAACTGACTTAAAGGAGAAAAATTTGAATTTCAAAATTTAAAATAAAATCAAAGTAAATCTTGCTTAATTAATGTTAGGATTAGGTTTTTCGTGCTTCATTCACACTTGTTATGCATAGCTTATTTCTTCGTTTAACTTTGGTATCTTGGTCAAGAATGGAATGGGTAGAGCTTGGGCTTGATTGACTTTAAAATTTTCCTTGTTTCTTTGTCTACCATGCTCACAACGCTAACTTTATTGCACTTATCAGGTTCAAATAAAAAATTATTATTTACACCTATTTAACATATAAAATTTACAATAAAGTAAATTTATAATTTCTAAAATTTACAATAAAGTAAACTCTATTCCTCAAGCATTTGTTTTAAACCAATATAGGTTCTTCATATCCATCCACTCATCATTTCTCCAACCTTGATTTGGATGTTGTTAGCTTTAGTTTGATCATAAATATTGATGATAATGAGTTAGTTGACGAGACACCTTCTTCTTAGACTTTATATCTTGATAAATGTATGAACTACTTTGATATATAAATATTTTGTCAAAATATTTAACTTATATTTTGAGTGTATATTTTTATTCGAGTTTATTGTAATTACTAATAAAAAATTATTACCCATTTGGGTAAAAAATATTGATTTGACATAATGAAACTTAATAATTTAGTAAACAAATGACTTTATCTAACATAAAAATTTAGTTTTGAAGACACTACAAATTTAAATATAGTAAAAAACTTTTACCCAACTTAAATTTGATTGAAAATGTTTGTTTGACTTTCATGAACTTTAACTTCGAAATTTTGACAAAACAAATTATTACGTCTTATCCAATTTTCATGATCTTTAGCATAATAACTTATCAAAATATTTATATTCAATTTAAAATTTGATTGAAAATGTTTATCCAGCTTCATAAACTTTAACATAGTAATTTAACCGAAACCGGTCAAAAAAACATTATTCAATTCAAATAATAAAATTATATATTTAAAATATACTTATAATTAAAAAATTATATTAAATAATTTGTTATAAAATCAATATTTATACATTTATATTTAATTAAAAAGATATTAAATATCATGTAAATTTTGAAAAATATTGAACTTGTAAAGTAAATAAAAGAAATAACTAAAAAAACATTAAAAGTGAATTAATTTAGTTTGGGGGCTAGCTCCATCCTAACCCTACCCCAACCCACTTTGTGTGGGGCTTTAGGGGTTGAGGTTTTTAAAAAGCCCTCTATTAAGTGGGCTAGAGAAAATTGGGGCTTGATTTTAGAAGGGGTCAGGGTCAACTCATGGGCCAGGGGCTCAAATGACACCTCTACCTATATGTGAGCCTTTTCTTCGTGTTTATAGCCATAGGTGTAATTCTAGAGCCTTTGGAGTGAGTATTTATCTAAAAATAATTCTTTCTTATTCATGCTTCCTTGAATTACAACTTGTTTTCCTCCATATAATTGTTTTCTATTTTCTTATTTCGCATACTCAAAGAGAGATAAAGGTAAAACAAACATATAGTAACTAAAACATAAAAAAACATAAGAAAATATAAAAAACACACTAAACTTAGGGAAAAAATAAGGTAAAAATTATGCAAAAGTTGATTTTTTCATGAAAATATACCCATAAAAACATATAAAATTAATCGTTATCGTAAATAAACTTCAAATTTAAGTATTTTAAAATAGATAATCACACTTGTAAAGTTTTACTTTTATAAAATTTAAAATGATCGTTTTTAATTTTTATAAAATGTATGAATTTTTTCTTTTATTTGTATTTTCTAAATTTTTAAATGATTACTTTTGGTAACATTGAGTTTAAGATATATAAATAATCACTATTTTATAAATTTTAAGAATTTTTTTAGGTACACAACCTAATATTGTATCACAACATTAATTAACGTCATATAATATTAAAGATAAAAATTGTAATTTTTAATTAATAAAAACTAAAAAAAAGAAAATGAAATGTTTGGAGAATAGAATCAAAACTCATGTCTTAAAAACCTAAATTAGGCATGGACACCTTTCATCCAACGGTTACAAATCAATAACTGCGCAAATGGATATTTACACCAACAGCAGGCAACCCGTTTGGAGGAGGGTTGTAAATTGGTCAGTATATACATTTACAGGCGAACCAAACGAGTGTTTCAAGCAGCGGCGCGTGTGAACCTTCTCCGAACCCTGTTCCACACCGTTCCAACGAACGAATTGTGAGTCTCAATCTGAGGTATTTTCTCCTCTTTCTTCCTTATTTTCTCTCCTGCACCTTAATTCCATTCATTTCCACTCACTGTGTGCACTTTATCCTTCGCGATTAGCCTCTGCCCCGTTCAAATCCCTTTTCTCTTTCTTTGCAAAATAGTTTTCGCGCTTTTTTCCCCACACCGCTCACCAACTAAACCCTAGTTACTCAATTGCATAAACCTTTTTATATTGACAACTATGTACTTCAACAAGTTGCTGTTGCTTTTAGATTTCCTCGTGGTTTAGTTTGCACAAGCTGCTGTTTGATTTTGTATGCTTAATATGCTTCACGTTTGACGTTGGATTGTATGCATACATTATTTTTCCAGCTTTGAAAAATTTTCTGTAAAATTTTGTTTCTTATTTGATTTGTGCTTCCGCTCTGGATTTATTTTACTTGTGCGTATACTATCAGAAAATGTGTGCTGTTTGGAGGTTGATATTATATCAGTTATGTAGTGTTATTTAGGAATATTTGCTTTGGAAGTGATTGTTTATTGCCAATAAGTTATTGATTTGTTCTATTTGATAGGTATGGGAAAAAGGTTCTGCGAACCGAACAAAACCTTGGATTTGAACTGCATACAATCAAACTATTTAGAAAGTTGCAATCCAATGTGTGCAATCCAATGCTTTTTTTGCTTCCAAGAACCAAACTGAACTGTTTGTTAGGAGAAGTTTGAAAAGTTGGAACTTTTAATCTTCCCATAAGTGGTTGTGCTAAAGCTCCAATGATTGCAGTAAACAACCTACAATAGCCTGTTTCAACTTCCTTTCTCAATCTTCGGGTTTTGTTCCCCACTTGCATTCTTCCTGTTTACGAATTGGCTAATGGTTTTTATTTTTTTCTTAAATTGGTACCTTCATGAAAGCAAGCTGAAAGTGTTTTTGATATTGTGCATAACTGCAATCTGTGGCAAGTCATAGCGGGCTGTAGGAGTTCAAGGGTTTGAATTAAGATAGAGAAGCGTCAACTCAAGATTTAGATGATGCTGTTTCAGTGTCTAATCTGCTAACTGTTATATTACAACATCAGTGCTGAGGTGGAAGAGAAATAAACGCATGAAAGGAAAACAGAGTCTGTCATAAAGATATCGTTAAATAATTTGTGATGCGAGTTTGATTGTAAAGTACACAGAACTGAACTAAACAAATCCCTTCACACAATTCACGTTTTTTTTGCCTTGCAAGACAATGACAATTATTGTTTGGTCATATATCCAGTTCATTTCAGCTTAATTTAGCCGCTACCTAAAACATACATGCGCTCAACCCCACCTCTCCCCCCACCACCACACACACACACACACACTGTTCTTTGATATACAATTTCCTCCAAAAGAACAGTTTACTTTCGTTTATCAAGACAGACAATTACCTACTCTTCTATGAAGAACATTTTTCTTATACTTCGTATTCATATATCCAGTTCATTTCAGCTTAATTTAGCCGCTACCTAAAACATACATGCGCTCAACCCCACCTCTCCCCCCACCACCACACACACACACTGTTCTTTGATATACAATTTCCTCCAAAAGAACAGTTTACTTTCGTTTATCAAGACAGACAATTACCTACCCTTCTATGAAGAACATTTTTCTTATACTTCGTATTTATATTTAAGATCAAGTGATCAACTGAAAGGTAAGTCCCCCCTTAGCTGTGCTTTCGTGTAAATTGACATCTGATTATCAGAATTTATTGTATGCTTAGTGGATTACTTTGTTTGCTTTAATAAATGTTGGCTTATAATTTTTAACTTTCACATTTGTTTTTGGTGTTTTCGTTTTTTTGAGGGTTGGGGGAGACTTTTGGAGATTTATTTCTCATCATGCTTTTAATTGCAACTGTAGATGAAGACCTGTGGAATTAATTTAAAAGTCATTGACTAACTTTAATATAACTCTTTTTGGGATCTTACATTTGATTCTTCTTTTTCTGTTTCAGTGAGGTTTTGGAAATTTAACCCTTTCAATTCTGAGCGAAGTTTAACATGCAAGTTTTTCCAAGTGAAGGTGAAAGCGCTCTGTCAATTGTTGGTCCAAGGCCAATGGAATGGTCTACTGTTCCATATAATGCCCCTCAAGCTCCTGGGCCAAATGGAAAGCAGCGGACCTCAAGTTTGGAATCACCAATCATGTTGCTGTCAGGTCACCAGAGTGCTATATATACCATGAAGTTCAATCCTGCAGGATCAGTTGTTGCATCTGGATCTCATGACAGGGAAATTTTCCTCTGGAATGTGCATGGGGATTGCAAGAACTTCATGGTTCTGAAAGGTCACAAGAATGCAGTTTTAGATCTTCACTGGACTACTGATGGGACACAGATAATTTCTGCCAGCCCTGATAAAACAGTGAGGGCGTGGGATGTGGAAACAGGAAAACAAATAAAAAAAATGGTAGAACATCTATCATACGTTAATGCATGTTGTCCTTCTCGAAGGGGACCACCTCTTGTTGTTAGTGGCTCCGATGATGGAACTGCTAAATTATGGGATATGCGTCAAAGGGGTTCCATCCAAACATTCCCGGATAAATACCAGATTACTGCTGTTGGCTTCTCTGATGCATCAGATAAGATCTTCACCGGTGGTATTGATAATGATGTCAAGATTTGGGATTTGCGTAAAGGTGAAGTTACCATGACATTGCAAGGTCATCAAGATATGATTACTGGTATGCAGTTGAGTCCTGATGGGTCGTACCTTCTTACAAATGGCATGGATTGCAAGCTTTGCATTTGGGACATGCGCCCATATGCTCCACAAAATCGCTGTGTGAAGGTGTTGGAAGGGCACCAACACAACTTTGAGAAGAACTTGTTGAAGTGTGGTTGGTCTCCTGATGGAAGCAAGGTAACGGCTGGTAGTTCTGATCGAATGGTTTACATCTGGGATACCACTTCTCGTCGCATCTTGTATAAGCTTCCTGGTCACAATGGGTCTGTTAATGAGTGTGTTTTTCATCCCAATGAGCCTATTATTGGATCTTGCGGCAGTGACAAGCAGATTTATCTGGGGGAGATATGAAGCCCAACGTTTAGGAACTTGCCAAGTGAAATGAGCATGCTAGTGCTTTTGACAAACTTTAGGGAGTGGTAAACTTTAGAAATCCTGAATTCTTTCTGTTGTTTCCTGATCCATGAATTCAGTGACTGTATAATGTTCCGCCAAAAGCATTATATCTATTTTCTTTACTAATTGATGTAATTTGAGATTTGACGTTGGTGAGAATGGCTCCACTCTTTCATATTGAGTTTCGTGTCATTTTGTTTAGGAGGGTTTTTCTGAAAGCTTTATCCCTGAAGATTTTGATTAATTTTTAAAATGAGAAATGTTTGTAATTCATCCTTGGTTTATGTATTTCTTAAAAGAATTATTACTAATTAGGTATATTTCACGTAGATCTTGTTAAATGAGTTGTCATATTCTTGATTTATAATTTTAGTGAAATTCATTTATAAACTGATAGGGTGTCCAAGGTCTAATCCATAGGGATGACAAATGAAAGAACTTGTTCTCGTGGTTATTATCGAAAGTCACTCGGATTTTAATGGTGAACTTTTGCTTTAATTGGGCATTGGATAATTCTCAGTCTTCTTCCCTGTTGTTGTCTTCATATAAGTCTCATTTTTAAATTATTAAAAACTTTTAATTTATTGGGTAATGTAAAAAAATTATATAAACTTTTATTTGATTTTTCATTTTGTAATTTATTTTTTGGACACATTTGATTTTTTTTTTCACGCTTTTCTATAATTATATAATCTTTATTGGTTTGATCTTTGAAATTCTTTTATATTTGTACAATTTTATTTTATATTTATAGATATTTGATATTTGAAAAAAAATGTATTTTCTTTATTATTTTTGGAAAAATGAATTAAATGGTCCCACATAGCATTCGTTGTTGTGACAGGTCAGGTTGAATCAAAGATTAAGACCGGCTAGGATAGGTCAAAAGTTGAGACATGGGGTTCGGACTAAAGGTCGAGACTGTTTGAGCCAAAGAAAGAGACGGGTCGTCCCAAGCTAAAGATTAAGATGGGTCGACTAGCTTAAAGACATACTGACCTAGACTGCAGGTCAAGACAGATCGCCCTAGACCGAAGGTCAAGATGGATTGTCCCGGACCGTTAGTCAAGATGTATTGGCTTGGATCGAAGGTCAAGATGGATCAACCCGAGTCGAAGGTCAAGATGGATCAACCCGAGTCGAAGGTCATCTCAGATCAACCCTTATTGAAGTTCAAGACGGGTCAACTTAAATCGAAGATCGAGATGAGTTTGTCGGATATGGGTCGAAATGGGTTTATACTTTTTACTTGTTTGAGAGTCTCTAAAGTTGCAGTTTAGTTTGGTTGATGTTGACTTAACCAACCTTTAATCGAGGTTGACTCAGTCGAATTTGGTCTGAATTGACTCGATTGAGTTTCGCCTGTGATGGTCCCTGCTAATTTTTGGCGATGGTCATTTTGACTGAATTCAGTAAATGTTTGATTGGGATTGACTTGTCAAATTCGGTTGAACTTCAATCAAGACCAACTCAATCAAGTTTTTATTATGGACCTCCTGATCGAATTTGGCCAAATTTATGCCTAGGCCCGTGACAACATTTTCACAGATTTGGTTGTCTTAACCTTTGGCTCAACTTGGATAGTCTCGATTGTTGGTCTGACACGATTCATTTCAACCTTTGGCTTGATCAGGCCCGCTCGAACTTTGGCCCATGTTGGTCCGTCTTTATAAGATCTAGGAAAATTATATATCTAGAAAGTGTAGTATTCATGAGAGTCGTTATTTAAAATAAGAAAAGATAATTATTATAGAAGTGAAGGGTAATATAATTGGTTAGAGCTCCTTGTTATGGATTAATGATCATGTGTTTTATTCTTGTTGTGTGTATAATATTTGTTTATTTCTTTCATTATTTGTTTTATGTGCAAGTGTGGTGTGTATGAATATTTATAATAATTGTTGTACATTTTTAAAATATAAATGTATTGTTGTGTTCATTTAACTAAAATTTTAAGAATTTCTCTTAGGTCTTATTATAGGAAAACATAAGAAGAAGATACCTTTTATAAGTACATTTTCGGGAATGAAAAATGTTTTTGATTGGGGAATGTGCGATTCTAGAAATTTTAATAATTAGGAAAACTATGCAAATGTGGTTAACTATTTTAAATAAAAGATAAAATAGTTTGTTATTTTTATCTAAAGGGTTTATTTTATTTAAATAAAATAAGATTTGGGAAAAAATTATTAATTAGAAAAATTATTATTAGATATTGTTAGACATTTTAAAAGATATTCTTGGATATTATTATATACTATATACATGTACAAATAAAAAGATATTATTATATATAATTAGATATTATTAGATATAATTAGATATTATTGTTAGATAATATAAATAAAATAAAATGTATTATTTAGGGACTTATCATAATCAATTAGAATAAAAATATAAAGATAGAATATATTATCTAGGGACTTATCATAATTAATTAAGTTAAAGATAATTTTATTTTATTATACTATGAAAATAATGGACTTTTATAAATATTTTGAAAATAAACCCAATTGGTTTAGGTATGCTTCCTATTAAATAGATTATTATTAGATATCTTAGATAGATATCCTATTTTTATCTTATCTTTATATTTTATCTTTAGTTTGTTTGTTATTACTCTTTATTAACATTTTGGATTTAGCGATATTTTTTCTATAATAAAAAGAATACCATGTGTGCATATTCAACCTAAGGAAAATTAATCTCATACATAGTTGTTACTATATTAGACACGTTCTATTTATATTATGTTAAAATAGAAACTTTGGTCATTGGAAAAAATAGATAGAAACTTTAAGGGTGAGAGTGAGAATTTGATCGAGTGAAGGTCTGTGAGAGCCAATGGGTGTTGTTGAAGGACATTATTTATTCTAGAAAAAAGTCTTAGCGGGAAACACAAGTAGATGGAGCTTACATTCTTGATTTTTGTTTTCTTGTTTTCTTTTTCTTGTAGTGTTGCTTGTATGTTTACATAATGAATTAAGTTAAATTGTTATTTGTTATGATTGTCGAGCTCTGTGTGTGTTTGGTCAAACAGTTTGTGGTGATTATTAAGTCGAAGGTCTTGTTGGTCGTGTTGTTTGTTATCGAGTTGTGTGGTTGGTTGTTGTGATGTTCAAACATGAATGTATTGCTTGTTGTTGGTTGTATGCGTGTGAGGATAAGACAAGTTGTTGTGGGGTCGTTTCTCCATACCTAGTAAATCCAGCTATGACTCTTCAGTCGTGCAATGCGGGAAAATGATGGGTTTGAATTGTGGGGTCTCTCTTTCAGCCGTGTGATAGGGAAAATAATCCTCTTTGATCGTGCGATGCGGGAAGAGGATGAGTTTGAGTGTCGTACGACTCGAACTGATCAATTCCGAGGAATAAGTGGTATGGTAGGGTACGGGGGGATAAATCGTGGGTGTTTGTGGTAATGTGTTTTTGTGTGATGTGAATGTGGTTGACTTTATGGATTGGGGTAGATAGGTGTGGTTATTATGCATTATTTTGTATTGTTTTCTTTTAGCTCACTTTTGCATGTTGGGTTGTGGTTTCAACTTATGATGATCGTTTTTATACGACAACAAATGATGTTATAGATGATGTTGGTATTGTGTATTGTGAGGATGTGCGTGGGAAAATAGTATGAGAATTTTTGAAATGTTTTGAGAAAGTAAAAGAGTTTATGTTTAGATTTTTTTAACATTTTAGGTTGTAATTGAATTAATTGTTATTTTCGCATGATTTTAATTATTTTCACGATAATGAAATAAAATTTATAATTTTTCACTATTTCATGGTGGTAGCAGAAGTCATTTTTTCTTAATTAATTACACGTGGCATCCTAAAATGGGATGTTATAGTCTCGACCTTCAGTCATACTTGACCTATCTTGAGCTTGGGTCTAGCCTAACTCGTCTCAACATTTGAGCCGACCTGACCCGTCTTAACATTTGGCTTGGCCCATCTCGAATTTGGGTAAGGTTGGCTTGTCTCGACCTTTGGTTTGACTGACCCGTCTCGACCTTTAGCCTATTCCGAATTTGGGTAGAACAAAAAAATAATTCAATTTAGTTTGTCTAACCTAATTTTCAATTTAGTTCAGTTCACATAAGCAAGCTTTTTGTTTAATGTAGTTTTTAAGAGTGTATTTTAGTGGAGTTCATTTTGGCCATCCTTACATATAACAACCATTTTCAATGATCCTTTAATGTACTTTAATATATGGATAATTGCATTCCAATGATCTTCACATAGGGAATTAAGAAATTAGTGTACTACACTAATTGCAAAGAAAATGTCAAGAAGAGTAACTTTAAGATAATTCAATTTCTCAACTAGTCTTCTATACTATTTAGGGTCTGACATAGGCTCCCCCTATTTTGATTGAAGTTTAGTATTAAGATTCATGGGTGTGTCAACAAATTTTGAATTCATCAACCCACTTTCCTTCAAAATATCCAATGCATACTTCTTTTGAGATATAACAATACTATCATTGGATTATGTCACTTCAATACCCAAGAAATATCTAAGTTTGCCAAGATCTTTTTTTTTTGGAAATAGTTGCAAAAATGTTGCTTTATCAGAGAGACTCTATGATTGTCACTTCTTGTAAGAATGATGTCATCAACATATACTACCATGTAGACATATGCAACACTTGAGTGACGATAAAAGATTGAATGATTTGCCTCACACTGAGTCATACCAAATTGTTCCAAACTAGGCTTTGAGAGACTGTTTTAGGAAATTTAAGGATTTGAAAAAAGGACATACCAAGCCAAAAGACTCTCCTTAAGTGACAAATATTGGATGTTGGTCCATATAATCTCTTCTTGCAAAACATGGTTTAGAACACATTTTTGACATCCAGTTGATAAAATGACCATTGTTGAAGAACAATCATGGCTATAAATAAACAAACAGATGGCATTTTTGTAGTGTTGTCAAAATGAGTTAGAACACGTGGGCCAACCCGCCTAATCGCGAATTCTGGCCGGGTTGAGTTTGAAAAACATGTAATTTTTTTATACGCGTATTTTCAACCCAGCCCACTTAAAACTCGGCTCACCCGAATTGAACCTGTGTGAGCCGGGTTGACTCACCAACCCACTTAATTTAATTTAATTATTTATTATTTCGTGTTTCAATATTATTAGTTAATACTTTGTTTTATTGTATTGTAGATGCGATAAAGAAAAAATTTTGTTTCAAGAGAGAAAAATACTATGGATTTATCCATGGATAAGTGATACACAAATGATCAATATTAGAAATTTATTTGTTTGTTTTTTGTACTTGTTTTTGGATTACATTTGGATTGTATGGTACTTTTTATTTATTTTGAATTATCTTTGGAGTTTAACATCATTTTAGAGTGAAACTTATTTAGATTTGAATTACAAAAGCTTTGTAATTTTTTTTGGATTTGAAAAAAAACTTGTAATTAAGTGAGTTAGTGAGCTAACCCATTTAACCCACCAATCTGTGGTGGGTCGGGTCGAGTTTACATTTTTTTAGCTCGTTAATAAGTGAACCGAGTTGTGTTGGCTTAATAAGTGACCAACCTATGACGAATCGGACCAGGTTACTTGTTTTGACAAAACTACATCTTTCTCATCATAGAAAAAGTATCACCATAATTTAATCTAAAAATCTGTGTGTAACATTTAGCCACAACCGAGATTTGAGGCGATAAATAGTTCCATAAAGACCAACTTTAATAGAAAAAACCCATTTGCAACCAACAACAGATTTTCCATACGGTAATGGGACACATTCCCAAGTTTCACTTTCTAAACAACACTTAGTTCATCTAGTATGGCTTGACGCCGACTAGGATGGGCTAAGGTATCTTTGTCATCATAGAAAAAATATCACCATAACTTAATCTAAAAATTTGTGTGTAACATTTGGCCACAACCGAGATTTGAGGCGATAAATAGTTCCATCAAGACCAACTTTAATAGAAAAAACCCATTTGCAACCAACAACAGATTTTCCATACGGTAATGGGACACATTCCCAAGTTTCACTTTCTAAACAACACTTAGTTCATCTAGTTTGACTTGACGCCGACTAGGATGGGCTAAGGCATCACTGACAAATTTTGGAGTGGTCATAGCAGAAATAAACGAAATGCAGGTATAAAAAGGTGAAGACAATCAATTGTAACTTAAAACAATATAATGTAGAAAAGGATTACAGGTAACATGTAAACCTTGTCGAAGGGCAATTGGAAGGACATACTCAATTGTTAGAGCTGAAGGAGACAAAATAGTTAGTACTTGAATTAAGTCACTTGGTGATTGTTAAAAAACACCGGGTTGATTAGACATAATTGTACGAGCACAAATAACAAAAATATTGACTATATTAAGAATATTAATTGTATTAGAAGAAAACATATAAAAAAAAGAATGATTGTTAAAATAACATAAAGACTCATTGAAAGTGACATTTACATAAAGAAAAAAAGTTAAGAGAAGAAGAAAAACACTTTATGATCTAGTAAAACTTAAGATAATAATATATTTGTATGATCGAAGATAAAATATCATGACTAAAATTATAAACAAAATATATAGACTAAAAAAAATTTAGAGATAAAAAATGGAGTAGTTTATGAGAAAATAAAATGAAATAAGATATTTCATTGTGATGAACAATTTGATTGATGAGATAACAGTAATATGTCTATTTTATTTGTTTTATACATCTAATTTATAAATTTACATGATATTTTATTATTATTTGTTTAACCGTGAATAATCAATATTTTTGAGAAGATCACATACATCCTCTTCTCATAATATTAATGCAATTTTATAACTAATAATTGAACTTAAGATTATGAATTAAAATAATTAATTTGTATATCATGTGTTACGTTTTTTCTTTATCAATGTCGCAACTTACGAACTCTGTGTGTGGTCATCAAATTAAAACCCACCACACTTTTTTCCATTTACATATGCAGATTTGAAACACAACGGAAATAACATGACAAAGATTTTCTAACAACCTTTTTCATTCAAAGCAAGTCAATGTTGAATTTCACAAGTACAAACGTAAGTACTCCCTTCCCACGTGCACAGTGCCACGTGACATAAACGTATATGACGCCTGCATTGCTGTCGAAACTCTTCTCACAGGCACGGTTTCGAAACTGACACCGACGCAAACGTCAGCGTTCAGTGAGTTTCCGACGTCAATGGTGAAAACCCTGAAACCCTAATCATAAAACCCCTTCCAACAAAGTTTCCACCGGCTTCTTCACTAACCATGGACTTCGATCACCACCTAACGGAGCTTTCCGCTTCTTCGCCATGCATTCCCTCTGGCGAGGACTTCCATTTCTACTACAAATTCACGGAGTTCCGACGCCCGATAGAAGAAATCGCGCGGAGGACACAGTCGATGCTCAACAGAATTGGTTCGGCAGAGAATATTTGGGGCAGAGGCTCGGCATTTCCCGCTGACGTGGACGACGCGTACGAGTGGCTTGTGAATGCGAACGACGATGTTTTCGAGCTGGTTGATGAGTTGGTGGACGAGTTGCGGAGGATTATGAAGGAGGAGGGAGTGGAATTTGAAAACGAGTTGGAGGAGAAGACAAAAGTGCCGTTTCATATACCGACGATCAAGAAGCCTCAGTATGCGTATAATATTGTTGTTGATAATGCAAACCAGCCTTTTGAGCATGTTTTGTTGGAGAAAAGTGAAGATGGTCAGCGGTTTATTCATCCACTGGTTCGTTCATTGCATCGAATTTAAATTATTCTGCCTCTGTCATGGTTTTAGTAGTTTTGCTGTTTTGCAATTCGAAAATAGTTATGGATTTGAGCTTAATTAATGTTTAAATTGAAAATGGAAATATGGGTCTGGTTAAAATCAGGTATGGGGTTATGAATTATTATTGAAATGGTTTCTCTCATATTTGATGGTTAAAAGAATGGATTCAAAGGGTGCGCAGGTCGTTGTGTTTATCTGTGATATTATTTCCCGATATGCTATTCGTGCTCGATATCTGATGAGTCTAGCTCGCCCATGTTAAGAACCGTGGTGTGTAAGTTACAATGTCATTAGCTTACGATTGAACGCGGTTTTAAGCTTGTGATAAGTACTTCATATCACATGCGTATAAGTGCTGACAAATAAAAAAAGCCTAAAAGTGAGGACTTATACCTAATAAATGATCGTGAGCACCTAATGGTGAAACACCTGTACTCAGTGGAGTTTGGTATTAAAAAGAAAGGAACAGCCTAGGGACACTGAGACAAAACAGAGATCAGAGCACCCAAGGAGGGTTGTTGAGATCAACAGGCTTGCTGGAATTAACAAAATTGGCTGGCAAACACTGGAAATACTGCTGGAGCATGGGATCAATTGTGGTTTGTCTTGACTCAGCATCACACGATGATGCAAAAGAAAGCTTTTCTTTTTTTCATCAACCACTGTGAAGGGTGGATATCTCCAGATTCTCCGCCCCCCCTCCTTCTGAAAAAACGCCTCTAAATGTTTTTTGTTACATGGACAGAACAAGTTTCTGAACCAAAATTGCTCCCCGATCAGCCCCAAATGCTTTTTTTTATTCCTTTTTTGGGTTGTGTAACTATTGTGTAGCAATGACAGTTATTTCCACCACAATTATGGCTGTAAGAACCTTGTGAATCTTCTTCTGTAGCAGTCCACAAGTCTACAACACGCCATCTCTTTAGTGCTGCTATGGTATGATGTTAAGTGTTTGTGTTTCTTGGTAATGATTTGGTTATTTTATTTAGTTCTGCGTACACCATGTAGTAAAATAACCAATGACAGAAGAAGCTCTTGTTATAGGTAGAACATCGGGCTTCACATTTGAGAATGGCATTAGTTTGATTCTACTGCTCCCCTTCCATTGTAATGCTCGAAATAACCTTCTCAACTGAGAGGAGATATCTACGCAACTTGAATGGAGTATTCTTAGGAAGAGTGTCATAATTGATATTTGCCTAGGATTAGAAAAGCGTGTTAAGGACTATAATTCATAAATCATAATGTGGACTATAAGATCCTACCAAAAATTGTAAAAATATATTTTTAAATTAAAATATAAGGATACAGTTAACCAATTAACTACTACCCCAAATAGTACCATGCATTAAAATTGAAGAAAGATTTTTATTATTTATTAACATATCAATTTATTATATATTTGATATTGATTATGGAGTGAGAAAAAAAGGTAACAGGGAACATAACATTGAATAGTGGGTTGTCTGCAATTTGAACCCTAAATAAATTTATATTATACTATGTATATATACTGAAAAATAAAGAATAATACCTAAAATTAAATAATATTCATAGTGAAGAATCAAATATATAACAAAGAGACGGGTTTTGAACTTGTTGGTGAGGAGTCAATGGACGACATCTAGAACTAGGTAAAGGCATAGTCAAGTTAAACAAAGGAGTAGTGAGGAGCATAAGTTGCATTATACAGGAAGAGGCCATAGTTTCTAGGCTAAAATAAACACATCAGAGAGTGACTAAGAATGAATACAAAATTCATAGGATTTATTAAACTGGACCCTTGATATTTTCTTGTTGTAGTGTCCTCTCTAGCTATTATTGGTTGTGCAGTGCGTTGCTTTGCCCTCAATACATAGGTGTGATTTGACTTCCGTTGGAGGAGTGGTAGGGTCAATGTGAATGTGGTGTTATCGCACATGATTAATAATGTCCAAATTTAGATGAAGTCCCCAAAGCAACTTAACTTGTGGCTTAAAAGACTTAAAGAAAATTGAAAAGCGGTGGTTGAGCAATTCTTATGGATAGAGAGATGAATTTAGGAATTACAAGTTCTAAATTATCGCTTGTGTATTGTTTGATGTCAAATCTAACCAGAGAGAAGGGTCACTAAAGAATTTGAAGGGAAGAAAGCTTTTTGGTGGCTTAAGTTCCACAAAAATGTCTTTTCTCACATTTTGGTCACAAAACCCGACTTTAGAAGCTCATGAAAGCTCATTGGTTCTACCTTGACAATTCTAACAACAATCCCATTGGTCAAATTATTTTTGTGTGGGTTAAGTTAGATCAAAAACCAAATTCTAAGATAGTATCAGAGTGTATTTACTTCTATTTTAGGGATTGCCATAATTGCAACCTCAAGAGTGGTGGTTTAGTTTTACATCAACTAGTGATATAACTAGAATATAGTATATAAGTGATGTGCAAACCTCACTATAAAGGCAAGTTTTGTGAGATTGAATTAGATATAGACCCAAATTCTAAGATGGTGCTATTCAATTTGTACTAGGGGATCAATCTTGGAGTTGTAGGTACCTATAATTGATGCAAATCGAGTCGAGGAATGGAAATGAAATGGTTGGTTGAACATGGAGGGAAGATTGGAAAATATGTGTAAGACATTGGAATCTTTGAGTTAGAATCCAGATAACAAAGAGGCATTGTGATTGTTGGCAACTATGATGGAACAAGAGATACAATAAATTCCTTAGAAAAAAGACTTGAATCCAAATTCAATCTCACAAGACTAGCTTGTAAGTGGAGGTTTGGACTCACTTATATACTATACTTTGGCCATGTCTTTTGTCAATATGAGATCGTCAACACACCTTCTCAATTAAAAATTGAACATCTTGAGTGTAGGACTAGATATTTGTTGGTGATTTGATAGCGAGTGACAAAATATGCCTAACAAACCATGCTAAGAGGTAGGCTCTAATATCATTTTAAAAAATGAACTTTAAACTTAAATTAATCTCACAAAATTGGCATGTAAGGTGAGGAGTGCACTTACTTATATATTATAATTTAGCCATATTTTTAGTCAATGTGGAATCTCCAAAAGAATGGATATGCAGAGGAAATGGAGTTTGGAAAATTCTTATTTCTTAATCTATTATTTCTTAATTATGTTCTGTAATAATGTATAAAATTCTTATTAATCTATTATTTCTTAATTATGTTCTGTAATAATTAAATTATGTTTCAGGAGAAATTCTCTGTTTTGGATTTTGTTGATAAAGAAAATATTGAGGATATTTTGCCAATAAAGCCTCTGTCAATAGAATGCACCCCTTTCAAGCTTGTAGAGGAAGTCAAAGGATTGAAGGAGTTGGCTGCTACGCTGTCTACAGTTAATGAATTTGCGGTATACCATAAATGCTGTTCATTATATTTTACTATAAAGCTTCCTTCATTTGTACTACTATGTTCTTTCTTTTTTTGTGGCTTCACTATACATTTCTTTTAAAGCTTGTTTATTATTCATTAGCCGAACCATGTTATAACAACAAATTATTGTCTATAGTATGTGCAGCTGCAATGGTTCATAATTTATAGTTTGTGCATTCATTTAAATCTTGTTATTTAACTGCACAAATCTTAATACATGTCTTGATATATGGATATTTATTCCTTTGTTTATGTTTCTGTTCCAATTTCAATTATGTTGTGTGTCGAACAGTTCTTTACTGGCAATAACAAACTCAACACCCTTGACATGCGTTAGAAATCTATATGTAAATTGTACTAATTGTTGTGCTCTTCCAAGTGCAGTATCACTAGTTTGATTATTATTTACTTTGTATACCTTCCCTTCTTTTTCACGGATGTTGTTTGTGCTTAGTATAGGCTACTTAACGACAGTAGTATTTCAAAGTTATTTGTCCTTTCCTCTAACAGCTATTGAAGTTGTTTTTGATATTGCGTTGAGTAAGTAGTCATTGTTGTGGTGATGCTCAATAAATTGCATATATTAGTTGTATCACTTGAACTATGTAAGGAAATAAATTATTTTATTGATAATAATCACTTTAATTACATTCTCATCATCTCTATTTGTAATAATCAAATCCTTTAAAAGAAGGAGACAAGAAATGTTTAAATGAATAGAAAAATTCTAAAGCTTTCATACTAAACTTTGAAAAAGAAATCACCAAATGAAGACATAAGTAAGAGAACCCGTTTGGCAAAAGAACAAAAAGAAATTCTAGATCGACTCAAATAGGAGCCAAATGAGATGTCAAAACCCCTTGGAATGGGCTCAAGAGGTCCTGCTGACCCTGTCTGTGACAGTCTACACACGTTGTCATTGGTGTTGGCATGTGGCAGGGTGTGGCAATTCTCTTGACAATGCAACTTTCCACATTGTGATAGTTGGAGTGGTACACCTTTTTGGTATACTACTAAACTCTACGAAGGTGGCAAACAACAACAGGTGGCTCCCAAGATCGTGAACTCTGATGCTTGGACTTTGTAAGGAAATAAAATACTATTTTTGTTGATAACAATCACTCCAATTGCATTCTCATCATCTCTATTTGTAATAATTAAATCCTTTAAAATAAGGAAATAAATTTATGTTGAAAGGAAGACGAAGATTCTAAGATTTTTTCTTAATCACTGCAGAGATATTGAGAATATTTTTTATTGCAATAAGCTACTATTTACAACAATGTATCAGTGGCTTATTTTGTTTTGGAATGTGTACAAACCTTCAAAGCAAGTCTTAAGCTAGCCTTTCAAGCTTACTAACATATGCCATATGTGGAAAATATAATATACCTTTTCTTTTTTTCTGAAGTTTAGCTTATGGCAGATGTTGGGTTGTTAAGGTTAAGTTAGTGTGTGCTCAAGTTGTATAACCTAAATGACTAATTTTTCTACTTTCATTTATGTTTCCCTCCTTGTGATTTATTTGTTTTGGTTAAGCTGTTTTTTTGGTATGTTTTGATCTTTTTTTATCTATATTGCAATTTGTTATTGCGTTCTGAACACTGGTTGTTTTTAATGCATTCAATTTAATTATAGTCTGTATTCTTCCTCTATGATACTTCTCTTGTTCGTTTGTTTCATTATATTCTTTTGATTTTTTTTTTTATCTTGACTTGGAATGTTAAGGTGGATTTGGAACATAATCATTATCGGTCATTCCAAGGTTTGACTTGCTTAATGCAAATCTCAACCAGGACCGAAGATTTTGTTATAGACACTTTGAAGGTTCGTAATCATGTTGGACCATACCTGAGGGAAGTCTTCAAGGACCCTACCAAGAAGAAGGTCAAATTCACGTGACTGATGTTTCTTTAATTCATGCAACTTGCTTCTTTTTGTTGACTTTATTTATGGCTAAAATAGGTCATGCATGGAGCTGATCGTGATATTTTGTGGCTGCAACGGGATTTTGGCATTTATGTCTGTAATATGTTTGATACTGGCCAGGTTTGTTTGTTCCAAGGATGTTCAGTATTGAAATTACTTTTCTTGTTTAGTGAAGGAAATGAAATTGTATGTTGAGTTATATAATTGTTGCCGCATTTTTTCTTATATTAAATAGTTTCTCTAGCTATTTGATACTGGCTCTGCATGTATGGGGCATTTAATAAATATTTGCAGAAGTAATTTCTGTTTTACCTGGTGAATTTAGCATGTAAACTGTTGTTGTTTTGCAAACCATCCTAAAAGCGTAAGTTGTTAAGTGAAAGCACTTGAATTGTTTTTTTATATCTTGAAATTGTCATCCAAGCAAGGTTAGCTTCATAAATAATACTTGCAAATTGTGTCAAATGTTGGATGAGTTTGTTTCCTTAGAGTAATAAGGTGATTGTTTTGCCGTGGCCTTGGAGAAAGAAACTGGAAATAAGCCCTTCCTTGAGATCTATGTCAGCTTTGCTTTTATTTAGCCTTTTTCTTGCTTGTATGATCTAATGGCCGAGTTTCTGACCTTATTATAGAGTTTCTTTTGAAATGGCAGTTTAATGAATGTACTGAGTAGACATGTCAAAGTGAGTCAACCCGGCTCACATTGCCTCACCACATATCTGGTTAAAAATGAATGAGCCTAACCTAGTTCTCTTTATGGTGAGCCAGAAATTTTATAACTTGACTCAACCCACCACAGGTTGGTAGATTAAGTAGGTTGGCTCACTAACCCATGTAAAAAATAAAAAAATATTTTTTTATTTTTATTTTTAAATATTCATATTTGTAAGTTATTCTGTAAAAGTAGGTTTCAATTTATTTCAATGAGTTTCTTGAATAATTTATAAAAAAATATAGAATAATGTTTCTCTATTTCTTCTAGTTAACATTTTTTTCCCTTCCCAATCAAAAGGGTTGTTGTACTGATTTTAATCAATATGCTAATGCTAATGCAAATTACCAAAGACATTATTGTGTGAACTTAACTTGGTTCTGGAAAAGAAAAATACATTTAGAGAGAACTTCTAAAAATACGTTATTATTTCTTAAAATATTTTATCAATCACAAACAAACATAGACTCTCTTTTTTTTTTCTCCTCTGCCACACTCCAAATTTTCTAACACATTCAGGTTTTGCTAATTAATTCCCGCAGTTCCACACTGTTCACCTTCACAGTTTTTGCAAATTGTTGATTGAATGTGAATAGCTCTTCCTGCGAACCAAGCACTTATCCTAAAATATGTTTCTATTATTACAATAGACGCAATGGGTAAATAATGTTATCTTCAAAAGTTTGCAACCTGAACTCCACTACACAAGTCATATGAACGAACCAGGAAAAGAGAAAGGTACCTGAATGGGAGAGGAAGGTTGTGATGAAGAAAAAAGATGGAGAGGCTGGCAAGAAGGAGATGAATAATGGAGGAGCAGCAATGCCGGCAAGCACTAATGCAGAGGAGCATGACATGATGCTGCAGACGTGGAGGAGCACTGCCATGACACTGCAGATGTGGAGGAGCACTAACACCGACCGAGCAGCAGACATGAATCACACAAATTGATCTGTGTGGTGCTTATGAAATGAATCAGAGGCAAGGCAAGTTAGGGCTCACTTTGAAGCAGTCTGCGACCCTGGATTCTTATTGTCTTCAAACAGAGAGAGGGAAATTAAATTAATTATGTTAGTTAGTTTACCTATTTAATATTAAGTTTTTGTTTTTTTAATATAGGTGGGTTGTGGGTCAGCTCACTATAACCGGCTCGAACCTGCATAACCTGTGGGTTAAGTAAGCTGAATCCATTTTGACTCAATCGAAAAAAAAAAATTTCCCAACCTGGCCCGGCTTGAATCTATGATGAGCCAGGTTGGTTCATGGATTCTGGCTCACTTTGACATGTCTAGTTCTGAGATTTATATTATACGCATGCTACCCCTGTATGTTTGCAAGATTGAAATTTTCCATAACCCTGAAAACATTTCAGTGCTATGCTTTTCATGCATCTATATGTGCTGATCTACTCTTTGACATCATGAAATGACAACAAACTTTTGAGTTTTATTGCTTCTGATCATCCCTGTCATAACCCAAGTTCATTGGTCGCATGGTGGGAATTCATTCTATGATGTTCTCTTCTTTTTGTCAAACAGGACTAATGTATATTTTAATTTTGTTACTCAGGCTTCTAGAGTGTTAAAAATGGAGAGATACAGTTTGCAACATCTTTTGCAACACTTCTGTGGGATTACTGCAAACAAGGAGTATGTTGTCTTTACTTTTTGGAATTATCCCCTTCTTTTTAAGTGTCTTACATAACTCTTAACACAAGTTTTATAATTTCCTGTGGAATAACTATTCATTTTATTCTTACCAACACTCTGGAAGGTTGACTAGTCAACTCCTTGCAGATACCAGAATGCAGATTGGAGATTACGCCCTCTTCCTGATGTGATGCTGAGGTGCAACTGTGTTTTAAACTTATCACATTGTTGATTCTTCCCATGGTTTATGTTTTGACCTGCTTTTAGATGTGTATTAGTTTAATTTATTATCCAATAATAAACAAAGGGTATGCGATCCAGGTTTTGGGGGACACAGATCTAATAAGTTATCTTGTTCTCTGTACTCAGTTGGGGATGATCTGTAGTTGATGTTAGACCGAGAGTTTGGAATTTATATGATCACGTTGACATAAGTTTCATTATGAAGCTTTTCGTCATTAGTTACTACCCACAAAACTCAAGGATTCAGTGAGCTTAGTGACTCAGACAAGAGCACCAATGAGCTAACTGTTGATCTTTCTTTTTTTAAAAGATGTGACTAGAAGTGTCATGCACATGGGAATCACTTCCTAGAAATTTTCCCTATGAATTTTCCTTAGAAGTACCTGGGTGCTTAGTAACAAGGGAATAATGGGATGTGGAGAACATGCATTAGGATTATAAATATATTCAATGGACTAGGAGATATTTAGAATTATGTAATCATAAAGGGATAAAACTCATTTTCCATACTATGAAATTATGGGAAAGGCAATTCAACATAGATCAATAGAAATGACTTTGATTATAGGGAATCAACCTGGACAAAGTCGGGGACTCATCTAGGTTCAACCTGCACAAATGTCTAGCTATCCCTTCTTGGGAGGTGCACTCCAATACTGTGAAGTGTCCTGCAGCACATGTCCTGAAGTCTGCTTGCTTGTCTAATCTGTAGCACCCCTAAGTCCAATTTCCACGTCGCAGCCTTGACTGTTCCATCTAGAGTAGAGTGTCACAAAATGGATGTTAGAGGAAAATTCAAACTGGACTTTGGAAACTCAAGCCGGTAACTGAAACTTGGCTATTGGAAATATATCAATCCACCACTAAAGCAGATATATTTTATTGATGTTTACTTTTTGTAATTTAATATAAACCTGCTCATGTGACTGTACTATTAACTCACTGGTTTTAAACCAGTATCTTGTCTGATTTAATAACTGGTCTGCTTTTAAAAAACTCGTATTAAGTGTTAGTTGTTAAGAGAAGTGTTGTGGAAGTCTTTGGAAAGGGAACTTGTTTGTGATTTCGTGTACAAGACTTGTATAGATGTGGTAACTACCTTGAGTTTTTACTTCAATATTTTGGATGTGCGTAACAATGATATATATGTCTGCCAAAAGATAATCAATTCTAGGTCCTCGTAAGGACTTAGTGAATATGTCTGCCAACTGGTTGCTTGAATTAACAAACTCAGTCTTGATATCTCCGGATATGATTTTTTCTCGAATGAAATGGCAATCAACTTCAATGTGTTTGGTTCTCTCATGGAAGACAGGATTAGAGATAATATGGAGAGCAGCTTGATTATCACATATAAGTATCATGTGAGTGACATCTCCAAATTTCAATTCACTCAACAATTGTTTAAGCCACACAAGCTCGCAAGTAGCTGATGCCATAGCTCTATATTCTGCTTCTGCACTGGACCTTGCCACAACACTTTGCTTCTTACTTTTCCAAGATATCAGGTTGCCACCAATAGAGACACAATATCCAGAAGTAGACCTCCTATCAGAAGGGGAACCAGCCCAATCAGCATCTGAATAACAAACGATTTTTGTATCGTTGTTAGGGCCATATAGCAAACCTTT